TGTGTACCAATAATTTCATCCCTAGCATATTCAGCCCCGAGGAAGGCAGTCGCTAAATTCACCGAAGGTTNTCTGTAAGAGGAGACAACACTTTATAATTGTAGCGAATGTGAACATCAGGAGCGTGCCTTCTCTTTTCATCCAATCACAAAATGTATTCGGGCAGAAGAGAAAGCACGCTTCTGATGTTTCCACTCGTTACAATTATAACGTATTGTCNTTGCGAAACTGACGAAGTGGCAACCATCTATAGAAGGAAGTAATCAGCTGACACGGAAAAATCTAAATTCCGCAGATTTCTGCGCTACGGGCTACAACTATAGAAAAATTCTGCGGTGTTGAGATTTCATTTACATGGCGCTCTGGTAAGACAGATCGTGTCAGCTGACTCGGGTTTACGTACCGGTAGGTTTACGTTCTTGACTAATTTCAGCTTCACTGGTTATATTGTGGTTTTTACGCACCAAAGAACGTAAATCTGTAAGAGGAGACAACACGTTATAATTGTAGCGAATGTGAACATCAGGAGCGTGCCTTCTCTTTTCATCCAATCACAAAATGTATTTGGGCAGAAGAGAAAGCACGCTTCTGATGTTTCCACTCGTTACAATTATAACGTATTGTCTCTTCTTATAGATTTACGTTCTTTGGTGGAAACATCAGGAGCGTGCTTTCCCTTTTGCCCAAATGGAAAAATGCGCAAGATTATTTGTATGAAAATTGAGCACGAAAGAATGTTACTCATACGCCGCGTACACCTAACACGCTTTTCTGCTCATATGTCATACAAAAATTCTTTGCGCATTTTCATTTGACCACTCATTATTTCGTATTCATCCATCGATTTTCTTCATCAGTAACTTGATTTTTTTTTTTTGTAACAGAACAGGCTTTAGTACAAATGCAAAAGTTTGGCACAGAACCCCTTATTATTTTAATTTTTCTCTGTTAAATTTTGATTTTTTTCATTTTTTTACTAAAAAATAAGAAAAGGTGGAATGACTAATTAATTGGTCAGAAACTATAAGCTCTATCGGAAATTGATGTATATCTGGTTTATGGAGAATTTCATTGGCCTTCATTTGCCGTATTTTATATTAAGATTTTTAAATTGGTTCGTAAGATATACGTGATTAAAAGGAACCAATTTTTGCTTTAAGCTGAATAACGGTAAATTGCAAATATCTCTAAAACCTATCCTTAGAAAAAAAATAACCCGATAGTGGCGTCTGGAGAACATTTTTGCTATAAACCAGCGTAATCAAATAATTAAAGAAGTTATTTGATAATTTTCATTATTCTACTATTTCTAAATATTGGATTATCTTTAATTATTTGATTATTTTTTTTNATTCTACTATTTCTAAATATTGGATTATCTTTAATTATTTGATTATTTTTGATTATTTTTTTAATGACAATTAATCATGAATTTTTTATTATTTTTAATTATAATTAATTATTTAATTGCTGGTTTATGTAAGAAAAATTATTGGTTACTAATCGTAATGCAAATTTAACAGCTCTGTTTCTAACTTGTACTTTATTATAAAATTTTATGGGCTATAAAACTAAATACCAAAAAATTCTAAAAATCCTAAACTTAAAGTGTTAAATTTTGATGAAAATTTGACGATTTTTTTTAGTTGTAACAAAGTTAGAAACTCCGTTTTATGGATTTTGTACTAGTAAGAACTATATTTTTATTAAAAATTAATAAAATTTTAAATAAAACATATTTTCAAAATATGAAAAAAAATTACTGTACGATTTCGANAAAATTAATAAAATTTTAAATAAAACATATTTTCAAAATATGAAAAAAAAATTACTGTACGATTTCGATTGACAGTCACTGTACATATAGAACAAAAAATTACGAGGTTACCATGCCAATATCGAATCTCAAATGTCTTTAGTAAAAACAAAAAAATTTCAAATTCCAAACATCCTTCGTCATTTCTCTGTTTGACCTCGAAATTTTCACATTTTTGCATAAAGTGCAAAATTAATAGTACGTGAGCCATGGCCGATGACGATGAAAATAAAGAAAAGAACCATACAATCGAAAGTCTCTTTATACTTTATGCCAACAATAACCTCAACGCTTTGGATTTAGATAATGAAATGCATGAGAGTATACTCTTATCACAAATAGATTTTTGGCTGGATCAGGCGAAACTGTTAAAAACGGTTTTTACAATGACAGAAACGGGCATGACTTATATGAAATTCAAGTAATTTTGAGCGATTTTTTTATGATATAATTTAACTCTTTTTCTAATTGCTTATCTTAAGAAAATGGCGTTTGGATTTCGAGGAATTTTTGGAATTTCTGAACTTAATTTGCCAAGACAAAGATATAAAAATTGATGATGTTAAGCAAACGCTGCTCGAAGCTGGTCCTCCTGGTGGTACTTTGGAAATTGTTATAGTGAAATGATTCAGAAGTTTGCAGTATATTTTTGAGGATGATACGTACCCAACTTTAGGCTAGTTTTATACAATAAATATCAATATTAATGACAATTTTAATACCAGTGTTAAAATTCTTAGTTCAGAGATATATAATAAATTAAACTATTTCAAGTCCGACAGTTACAAATAAACGGCAATAATGAAAGGAAAATTTGTATGTAGGTAGATCAAGAAGCGAAATTCCTCAGAGAGGACTCCAGTGAAAGCGTGCATGCTATCTCGCAGTAATCAATAATTTTCCATTATTATTACCCTTTGTATTAAGAAAGCCCTTAAAACATCGATGTAGGTAGGCTAAATTTAGAAAGCTACGCAACTGCATACACGACAACCACAATTTTATTTGGTTTTAATTTTATTTATTTACAGTATATCGTAATAATCTAAATATAATTGTATAAGTTCCATAATATTTCATTTAATCATATTTGTAAATATTAAATGATTTTTTTTATAGAATTCAGATTTGTTTTCCGGTTTACTTGCCTTTATTTTTTTTCTACACTGGCGAATGCATTTTCATTAGCGTGAACCGTTTGAGAAATTCGAGGCCGTAATTGCTATTTTTTATAAATACATATTTTCTTTTATCATTGTTGAGTGACCCAAATTATTATAAGCTAATTATAACAAACATCATTTTACGCCAGCCGCGAAACAACTTCTTACACGTGAAAATTGTCAACATACAGCAACATTTTGTCGTTTTATATTTGATAGACTATAAATCTACGATGATTTGCAACGGAAGCGGGGATTTTCGTTTCATTTTTTTTTGTGTTTTTTTAAAGTTGAATAATCTTAGCTTACTGCTTTGTTGTATGCATGAATATGTATTAGCCAGAGAACATAAACTTTCACAAACAAAGATTACAAGCATATACATATGGAGTTTACGATAAAACAATTACAGTAGCAAATGGGTAAGCAAAAAGGACTAATCACAAATTAAAAAAATATATATATATAAAGCAATTTAAAGTGAATTGAGTTTCCAAACGTTTAGCTTCTTTGTAAAACTGTGTACTTTCCAAATGAAAAATTAGTCTTCACCTTTTTGATTGCCGTATTTCTACTAGTGCAGCATATTTCCGCATTTAATGCGATGTTTGGGCGCGATTTTCAAGTAAACTAAATTTTCAGTTTGGTCCTTCCAGTACCAGATATTTGCTAAACAAGTGAAATCAATTAAATTTTTTTTAAACTGTTATACAAAAAGTTTACAGATTTTGCATGTTGTTTTATTTTTTATTTAAAATTATAGCATTCATGCTAACATTTACATGCATTAGCACTTATTTACTTTATTGAGACTATGTCTATATTTTTAATCCAAATTGTATAGTTTAATGTAGTTATTCACGCACTCGAGTTTCGTTNATGTTGTTTTATTTTTTATTTAAAATTATAGCATTCATGCTAACATTTACTTGCATTAGCACTTATTTACTTTATTGAGACTATGTCTATATTTTTAATCCAAATTGTAGTTTAATGTAGTTATTCGCGCACTCGAGTTTCGTGTGCAATTACAATACAGCTTTGTTCGATTGCATATTTCTTTTGCGAAGTTACGGTGTACCTTTTTTGGATTTTGCATCAATTTAAATTTCCTTTGAATGTTATGTGTAAAAAGTAGTACTCTTTGCTCTTTTATGCCTGCCTTTTTAGTTGCTTTTCGCTTACTACCCTCTGGCTTTGTTTATATGAATATAAGTTTTTTATGTTTTCAATTGTTTTGTTAATATCAAAAGGAATGATACAAAAACATTTAAATTCGCCCTTACATTGGACCGTCTATAGCGCTCACTTTTAAACGGAAATAGTAAACCGAACGTGCTAATAAAAAGGCTGCGATCAGAAAGAGGCCAACATAAGCAATTATAATACCACCGTGATCCTGTAAAACACCAAACGAAATGCATGAGTTAAAACAAAATATCCAAATATGCATATGGAAGGCAAAAATTCTATACCTGTGCGTATTTGTATGTGCCAACAGTAATACCAATGCCCGCAATGAAAAACAACATTCCAAGTACAGCGAACAACATACCGCGTCCGCAAGCAAAGCGCGAGCCAACAGATGACACTTTCCTGCAATGGGGACAACGCGCTAGAGCATTGTGAAATGTGTTAAACTGCAAAAAAAAATTTACTTTTTCAAGAATCACATTTACAAACAATAAAAAGAACACTTTAGCTATGGTGCATACCAGAAATGTATCTGAACAGTGACCGCAAGTAACACGACACATGCCCGGCATGGCCGGTACGGGTGGCGTAACCGGACTTGGTGCTAAATTAATAATGCGCTTACAATTTGGCCGAGGACAAGCAATGCGCTGCGATGAACTCTTGCAAATCAACAGACAGTTGCATGGGCAACGCACGTACTTCTTGCCTGGAGGAGCGTTGCGTATTGGCTAAACATAGAAATTTAAAATTGAATGCTAATTTAACTGCTTGAGGAATTGTGCTTTCAAATCCTTACCGTTGCCTCATTGCAATGACTGCATTTCACTACGTGCTGATCTCGTTTTGTTGTGATATCGATCATATTTTGGCACACGCGACATGTAACCATTGGTACACCGGTGCCAGTGTTGGCCTGATACGGTGGTGGCACTTCATCGGGACCCACAAATGGTACATTTGCTTGAGAAACGCCGCCTAAAAAAAGAACAGCAAATTTCTGTTACACCAATTTATTACGACCTTTAGGAAAACGAAAAATGTTTAACCTTTCCTGTAGAACAAATACATGGTAGATGAATCGAATGGAATGTAATTTGAAAACTGAATAGTGAAACAGTTCAAAACCGCAAATGCATATTAATATGACTGTGTGTGCGTCTATCTGATAGTTGTCTTCATATGAATAAATTTCCTTCATTGAAAGCTTAGTACATACATACATTACTTTGGTAAAAGAGATAGAGATCTATGTCAATGCTGACTATTGCTTTAAGTTTTCCATCTTCAAAGCGGTTTCTTTTAAATTGCGTACTATAGTACACAAATATAATTTAAGTTTTGTACATGAGGCTTATGTTAACAGATGAATGTATCATGTTTCTTATGGCCCACCGCATGAGTTCCAAGTTTCTCAGGAAAAATCGATTTACGTAGTTTATATTTAATGCTACAAAAGCTGTACATAAATAAATGAAATGGCATTTGTATAGGTATCATAAGATCTAAAATTAGTTTGATCAAATTAAATTAACCCTAATTTGTTATTTTAAACCTTGGGCCAATTAAACAGCACGCTCTATGCAGTAGTCTTTAAAAAAATTGTTTGGGTACTTCTTTTGTTACAATCTGAATTTCCTTTTTTTGTTATTATTTGATGCCTTCATTAACACACGATTTCCAGCAACATTGTATTCATAAACAAAATACATTGATAACATATCGCATAACAACTGTTGGACTTCACAATGGCCATGACGTATGACTCACCCGATGTGAGAATGGGATATCATCACATTGTAGATGCAAAAAGCAACTTGGCAATCTTGATAATTTTATAATGTTGAAAAATATGGAATGCATTCTCATACTTTAGCGTACTTATGTAGGTATAAATATAATGTACCAGACCTCTGTTAATGCAATCAGTGGCTCAACAATACGCGACATCATGAAGCTTTGGTTTTTTGTGCATGTACAACTGCATAAATATACATGGGTAAGTGTGTATGTAGGTATGAGTACACAAAACAATGAAAGAAAAGAAAACATACTTCGAATAACTTCAAGTCGTTACGAAAGCAGGCACAAATCTGAAACCACCCACACCCTTATCACCTCTAACAGCTGTAGTAATACACACTTATGAGGTTTCTATTACAGCATTGTGGTTGCTTCATTTACAGTTCATTGGGGATTTGTTGAAATGTGCAGCATCTAATGCTACGCATGTTAACGCCAGTGCCGGGTTTAATGAACTGAATTACATTTACATACTAGATAAACACTTGTACATAAATATATACTTACATACATATGTACATGAAAAAGATTTTTTATAATTTATAGAGTACCTTCTGCTGAATTAGCACCTGCGGAAATAGCTGGTCCTCCTTCGCCGCCGCCTACACTGCCTGTACCAACGCCTGGCTGGGAGGTGGTGGTATACGTATTATTGGTTTCTTCATTGTTAATGAGGCTCTGTTTCTCCGGATCAGCCATAATAAACCACAGCACTGAATAGATACGCTGCACAGAAAAACTAAATAAAATCACAGGCAATTTCAAACATATATCACAATTATTGTAATCGAATTTACCAATCACTTTATTGCTCTGTTCTACAATAGATCCCTCAGCTGGTTGTTGGGGTCGGTCTGGTTGATTCACAGCAAATATTTTGGCTGTTTCTATTCAACCGCGTGCGCTTCTTGTTGGAAACTGATTACTTCCGTAACTGCAAAATATAAGGAAATGTTTTTACTTATGTTAATTTCTCTTTAGACGTAGTTTTAACAAATGAATTGCAACGTTATAATGATTATATTGGCGACTTATTCGTAGTATCTCATAATCATTGGATACAAATATATAAGGACTATACAAATTCGTCATAGCGGCAAAGACGGTGGTTCGTAGTGCCTCCCTTTTCCTTACAAAGGTTCCCTTTTAACTGCGCCGTTCAATTCATAACTGGCCACCCTTCTTACTCCTATTCCTATACATGATCTAACTACTTGCATCGACGACCGCCTACCTATGCCGATTTCAATTTCCCTTCATTTATTATTTGCTGCACATAATTTTTTTTTGCAATGGAAACTGTGCTCATTGCTGTTGTTGTTTTTCCTTCGTATCTTTGTCACTTCTCGTCTTCTCGGTTTACCTTTCCTTTGTTTGTCAAAATGTTTTTTAATTCCCTATTTCTCCATTCCCGTCACCAATTGTGAAATTTGTAATCCGGTTTTTTGACAAAATAAACAATCCTACCGGCTTATTTTGACAAATTCGTACACTTGAATGAATAATTTTTAGAATTTAGTTGCTAAGAGATCCTTAAATTTCTTATTTACCAATTTTTCCGCAGTATTTTTGAGAACTAGTCGGAATCCTCCCAAACGAACCGAAATGACTTGCACAGAGTTGCATGAGAATGCAACGAGCTCAAAAATTCAACGTAGTCTTGTGTTTACATAGATGTATTTTTAACTGCGTCTATGCAGAGTATTTACAACCCCGTATTCCCATAAGTTGACACAACTCAAGGCCATATGACGTCTGCCTAAAAATAGTTGTGTTGCATTGCGTCGCCGTCACCGTCACCGGCAGTTGTCAAAAAAGTTGAATCGGTTTATTTGTATGAAGTAAGTTACATGTACAAAGCTGATGGAGTCCGTGACGCACAAATTAGCTCAACTTTCAACTTTCCTTATGCATTTGCGTCAGGTGACAACTATTCAATGTTTTGTTTACATATTTGATCGTATTTTTTTCAGTTTGTAAAAATTTTTAGAAGTATGGAAAAACGAAATTAAAAAAAAAAAATGACGGAGGCAAACCTAAAAGAAGAACTGCTAAAGTAAAACTCAAATTTTGCAAAGATTACAAGCGAGTTTATGATTTTTCGAACGCAACGTCAAACGGATAGTGTGCAACTTGACGCATAAGCACCTTTGATGGTGATGCTGACGGTGACGGTGACGGCGACGCAATGGATGGTATTTACTTTCACTTTAAAAATTAAAAAATAATATTTCTCAAGGCCGGTCCACATAGAACTTTCGCGTTGGCTTTGGCGTTGGCGTTGGTTTGACAGAACGCACGTTAAAAGTATGCTTGCTACAATGAACGCATGGCAGCGAATGCTTGGGCCACTAAATTAACATACTAACATCGAGATAAATTAATATTTCATATCAATATTTGCTTTAAAAACGATATTTCTTGCCCGCACTTGATTGAGAAGGAAAAATATTTTACATAATTTTATTTATGGTCGCGTATGTTTTAACCGACCTGGCTGAACTCGGATAAATAGCCGAGTTTGCTTTTGTAGCTCGGTTGCAAAAGAATGGGCCTTATGAGATTGAAAACGAAAAACGTGGAGCGCATGCAATACAAAGCCACGATTGACAGAAATAGAGGTTGCGTCAATCACGGTACCGCTATTTATCTTTCAGTGAATTTGACTTGTTTACGTTTTATTTGCAACATTTTTTCTTCTTCTTCCATTCTTGTCCACGTTTTGGCATTTCTCTCTCGCAATTGCACCAGTGTGTTGTCGCACAAAAGTTATTCTCAAAAATCCTCTCTGATAGGGGCAATCTTGCATTCTATCATTCTTGATACAAAGCATTAGATTTAATTGGCAATGGTCAAACTAAATAACATAGACCTAAAATTTCTACAGAGAAAGTACAAATTTGAGATCGACTTTAAGCAGTCGTTATTCATATATCCACATCCATACATAAGTATATTACCCTTCATATCATTTTCAATATCATAAATGGTTTATAATGACTTTTGCTAAAATTTCAAAACCAAACGTTATCAAAACAAATTCTATGGAACTGAGAAATATTATTTTCTAATTTTTAGTCCATTTATAAAGAGTTTTTTATTAAAAAGTTTTTTTATTTTATTTGTTTTCTACTTTTGAGTCTCGTCTGTATAAAATTTTGCAATAGATATTAAAAAAATTCAACTTGCAGTGAAAGAGAACAGAAGACAATAGTTGTGTTTTTTTTATAAATTATCCAGTAACTTGCCAGCAACTATCCAGTAACTTTATTTCTAAGAATTCGCTCTCATAGAAAAAATTTGCAAAAAAGTACGTGAACGCTTTTCCAGTAATAATTTGCAAGTTTCATGAACAGCTGATAAATTGGTTGTTTATTCGCAGCAAATTCCTAACAAAACAATATATTTTGTATTTAAATAGGTTTATTTTGTGAACTTCAACAATAAAAACCCACAAACAGTTTCCTTATTAGTTTAAATTTCATCCAGCAACATGCGATCAACTGTTTTTCGTACTGGCAAATTCTTACAACTAAAAGTTTAGCCAGTAAAATCCAGTAAAAACTTGCAACTTCAACTGCCATTTTTCGCTCTCTCAATTCCCCCTACTTTGCAAGTTTCTGCGTACGAAAACGCCAAAACATGAAAATTCGTAAAAACTTTTACTGGATTTTACTGGAAATGAGTAAAAAAACGCAAGTAATGCAGGCAATATGTTGTTTGCTCACGTTTATTATAAACATCCATATGTACATACATACATAGAAGAGCAGTTAATTTTATAAAAAAAAAATGGCGTGTCGTCCATTTCCGCTGTAGCGTATGTAAAAGTGCATGTATTTAGGCGCAATATTTAACTTCTTCTCGCGGGGCGACATCTAGAGTCTTCAAACTGTATCTCTTTGATATGATGCCTACAACGAGGTTGATATCTGGACTAGTTTGATATCTAGTATTTGCCATAAATAGCTTTGCTACATTTATAGTATAAATGGTGGTCTGTAGCTCGTTTCTGTAACTTTTCTCTACCGATTATTTCTGTACTGGTAGAGAATATACGTCATTCTCTCCTACTCTTTAGCAGTAGAGAACAGGGCGGCGGATTCATATCTCAATTCGCCTTGGTAGAGAATTGTTACAGAAACAATCTACTGGACACACAACATTGCAAGTGATTGGACACACAACATTGCAAGTTGATAAAAGCGTTGTAAAATCAAAATATCCGGTAACTTGCCAGTCGGTTTTTCAATGTCTGATTTGCACTAATCGGAGGTAGAAGCTCAGGTTAAACACAACGACTGCTTTATCGATGACATGTTATATGAATGTTGTCGAAAATGTCGATAGTGATATTTAACCGGCAAGTAGTGATAACCAGACATTGAACAACCGGCCCTAACACTAATCTCCGATCAAATATCGTTATCGACGTTACTGACTGCTTGCATATAACACTGTGTCAGTAACGGAGGCAACGATGTTCAACTGGGGATTAGTGTTAACCATAGTTGGTGAAAACGGTTTAAACTTAGATTAAGTAAACTGAGTTTAAAATGAACAGCTGGCTGACATTTGATTGGCTGACCTTAGTTTAAACCAGCCAGATCGGGCGTTTAAAATTAGTTTAAAACACGGCCGTGCACTGAAAAACTTTCTCTAAAAGCACCACAAACAATTATATTTTTTAATGTGAATTACATTAAGCATCATGCCATTATATCATGATGATATTTTCTTATTTTAAATTTATGTTGGTAATTTGAAGATTTTTATTTTAATGATTTTAAAAACTTTTCATTTAGAAATTCTAATAAAATTTAGGAACAACAGAACAAATACAAATTGTACAGGTATAAAAGAACAAGGTATTAAAACGATAGGTTAACGAATATTAGAAGGAGCGTACAAAATAAATATAAATATAGAAATAATTTTAATTTAGTAATAACTAAAAATTTTTTTGGTTATGACAACGACGACAAAAATAATTAAAGGCGCTAGAATATTGTTGTTGTTGCTGAGACAGTGACTAACATTTTTGGTGTTGAACTATTGGCTGTGGTCATAGACGTTGAGGGTTGATGGAGAAATGAAGGGCTGCCTACCAACTGTCATTTTTATTGCCTGATAAAAATTTTATCAGCGGCAATATTTGTGCGTACCAAATTGCTGGCAATATTTATCAAGATAAAAGCTCTGATAATTATTGCTTGCCAAGAGCAATATGCGGTCTCCATGG